AAAAAAAAAAAAACAACCAGGGGGACAGGAGCCCCGAGCAGAAAGAGCGGCTATACCAGGATGGGGAGGGGTGGCTGGTTATATACTTGGGAGCTGGAGGAGGTCAGGAAAAGGGAGGTTTCAGGAGGATTTTCGTATGCTAGAGAAGACCCTCAGGATCCCAGAGACCTGGCCATTATCAAGCCAAGGTTGGCTTTCCCTCTGGCAAAGCATTCACATTTAGAGAGCTGGGCAGCTTTCTGGAAGAAGGTCCCACAGGCCCCACCCAGGAGCTGGGGGGCAGAGGCGGTGGCAGGGTGTCCCGCTGGTGCTTTGTCCTCGGCTAGCCTTCTCTCTTCAACAGCTGCAGTGTGGAAGTTTGCAGATGGGGAGTCCGGCCCTGACTCTGAGCCGGGCACACAGCGAGTGTCACTCAAGTTCATTGCCACCACGATTGTGATTTGGTTCCTTTATTCAGCCCGTTTGTGTCTGGAGCAGCTGCTGGGTGCTGAGGACACCAGGAGGAATGGGCAGAGCTCTAGTGTGGCTCCCAGTCCAGTGGGGCAGATGGAGGGTAGACCAGATGCCTGAGCTCTTGTTGTAGGGCCCCTTGCCAGTGGGCAAGGCAGAAAAGGGATGAGGCAGTGTGAGGATAGAATTTTCCACAGAAGGCCAGGCAGGCTTCTCTGTCCTGCATGAGGGTGATGCGGGGCTGGGGCAGAGAACTAGAGGGAGGGGTTGTGGGGGTGGGGTGTCCCTGGAAGGGCATATCAGGTGGAGAGCACAGCCCAAGCCAAGGCCCTGAGACAGGGCCGGGCCTGGTGAGGAGGTGGTGTGGCTTGGGCAGAGCGATCCAGGGGGTGAGTAGGAAGTGCGGGGTGCCGGCGGGGTGCGGGTCACATAGGGCCTGTGGCTGCGGTGACAACTTTGGAAGCTTTGGGACAGCAGTCCATAGGCACCCTCTATTCGCTGTTGCGGGGTGAAAGCCACAGCCAAAGACCAGGCTGAGAGCAACTGTGCTGGTCCAGGCAGGTGATGATGGGGCCTTAGGAGCCTGGTCTCTGAGAAATGGCCAGGGACCACTCTCCCTCACCGTCTGGTGGGCAGGAGTGGGTGAAGGATGGATATACGACAGGGCAGGAGCCGGTTGAGTCCTGGTCAGGCTGGAGCCCGCAAGGGGGGACCAGAGCCAGGCAAGAGGGGACCAGAGCCAGCCAAGGAACGTGAGGCCGCTTGGCCCCAGGGAAGAGCTGGGGAAGGAAGGGAGGGGGCCAGCGGAAGCAGGGCTTGGCTGAGGCCCCCTCCTCCCCACCAGGAAACAGCGTCTGAGCCAACCCCT